TGCCCGGCAGCAGCTGAATCGGGACGCCTGGGGCAGAGCCAGACTATCGGAAGGGGGGGCTATGAAGGGTCTGAGGTGGCATCCCCTCCCCACCCGTCACAGCCCCCCGCCTCCGATAGTCCAGCATATCTGATAATCCGGCACCCCCTGGGTCCTAAAGGTGCCGGATTATCGGAAGTTTACTGTACTATGAAATACAACACTAAGGCCTGGGTCTACTCTAGAGCGAAAGGTCGACTTAAGATATGCAACTCTAGTTACAATGATCATGTAGCTAGAGGCCAAGTATATTAAATCGCAGTCTACACAGCAGGAGGTCAACTGGAGCAAATGCTCCCATTGGCTCTCTCACTCCTCATGAGGAGCAGGAGTACCAGTGCTGATGGGAGCGCCCTCTGAGTTCTATTTAGCAGGTCTTCAGTAGACCTACTAAATCGAACACTGGAAAATGGTGGCAGCGTCAATCTTCTGTGTAATATAGACATGGCCGAAGAGTAGAAGTCTCCTAAAACCAGAAATACCCTCGATGGAGTTGCAACCTGCCTCCTCCCCTCACCCCCCTGTTGCAAACTGACAAGTTTGAATATGCCTAATACTGAGAGAGATTCAGGTAGATCAGATAGACACTGCTACAGAGAAGACATATTAATAGGTTTTAAAGGCCAGAAGAGACCGGAGTGTCACTGTCCACCGACATTTCACCCTGCAATTCCTGCATGATTGAATTACAGCAAATATTTTAGAGAAACATTCAATCTTGATTAAAGGATGAAAGAGAAAAATTATCTAAAATGGATAGACACACCAAAAAAGACTGAGCTCCTTACAGCTTTTGTGGCAAGGTATTTTCACAAATACGCACTTTTTTTTTTTAATACATTATGGACACCAGAACTGGAAACTACTCCAGTGGCACTCTCATTAATCCCATATCACCTCTCTAACCACTACTCAGTGTTCTCCTGTTTCCTTCAAAGACCCTCTTTGTCACAACATCATGCAGAGAACAGTTAATTACCCTGACTAGTTTGTACAATAAAACCTGTGTTATCTGGCACGCTCGGGGATTAGGGCGTTCCGGTTATCTAAAAATTCCAGTTATCTGAGGGGCCCATCAACCTAGGAAAAACCAATGGACAATAATAGTAAAACTCAAGTTTTTAATATTGGTAGTTTTGTAGTGTGGGGCAGTTGGTCTCACATTTCTATTTTGTGTTAAAGATGATTAGTACTTCTTAAATGAAAAATTGTTAAGCCAATAATGGTGAACCAAGCCAGGCCTGTGCGCCTCAAGATGTGACAGTATTGTGGCTGGGGGCTGGTTAACAAAGTTTTCTGGTTAACAGAGTGCTGGATAACAAAGGTTTCCCTGTATTTTCAGAGTCAAGGCTTCCCCAAATATAGTCCCCAGTCTTGTAAGCCTGATCTTAAAAGAATGAAAGAAAAAAAATATCTAGCTTCTGCAAAGCAAAAAAGTGATGCAATGTTTTCTCAGACAATCACCTTGAATGCTGCTGCCCAGTTTTTTTATTTGGCAGTGCAGTAATATTTTACAGATCACCTGTTTTACTACATCTGTGGTTACGTCTGCCAGGCCAGCATCCCACACTGGCAAAACAAAACCACAAGATGAGACCGTAACACATGCACAGTGAAAACAGTCTTTTTCATGAAATTGTAAGAGTAGATATTCCTCTCAGATCGGTCTACACTCTCAACACAACACAACTCACTATTTTGCCATCTCAGGGGCAGGGAGGCCTCTTGTTCTTATCATAGAATCATAGGACTGGAAGGGACCTCAAGAGGTCATCGAGAGGATCAAGCTCTGTCTACACCATCCCTGACAGATGTCTATCTAACCTGTTCTTAAATATCTCCAGAGAGGGAGATTCCACCACCTCCCTTGGCAATTTATTCCAATATTTGACCACCCTGACAGTTAGGAATTTTTTCTTATGATACAAGCAGGCTAAGGGTAACAGTAGGAAAAAAGGAAAATAAATATAAAATCTTTAGGTCAATGCACATGGCAACTAAAGTCAGAAAAAACATGCAATCCAGTCAAAGCTATAACTTTTACTATACTGAAATAAAGACAGGTTGCAAAGTATGATGCAAATCTAAGTCTTCTTCCATCAAGACAGCAGTCCTGGCTTGGAGTGCCCTGAGTGCCCACACTGGGCACATCACAGCACTCGGCCATCAGACCGGCTGTACTTGCCGCAGGCTGCCATCTGGGGAGAGGGAGAAATTGGGGGGCTGCAGGAAAGCTTCCACCCCCAGAAGCCCGCAGAGCCAGCCCAGTCCTCCCCATCGGGGGCTCGTACCCCATTCCTCCCTCACCTCCTTCCACTTCCCCTTCCCTAGCCCCCCTTCCTGATGTATAAAATAAAGAAAACGTGTGCTCAAAAATAGAATCTCTCTATTGAACACAACTCGGGGAGACTGGGAAAAGGAGGTGGGAAAGGGGAAGAGAGAGGGTGGGAGAGGGGAGGGCAACTAAAATGATCAGGGGTTGGGAACAGGTCCCATATGAAGAGAGGCTAAAGAGACTGGGACTTCTCAGCTTAGAAAAGAGGAGACGGAGGGAGGATAGGATAGAGGTCTATAAAAGCATGAGTGGGGTGGAGAGGGTGCATCAAGAAAAGTTCTTCATTAGTTCCTATAATAGAAGGACTAGAGGGCACCAAAGGAAAGGAATGGGTAGCAGGCTTCAAACTAGTAACAGAAAGTTGTTCTTCACAAAGCAAAGAGTCAACCTGTGGAACTCCTTGCTGCAGGAGGCTGGGAAGGCTAAAACTAGAACAGAGTGTAAAGAGAAGTGAGATAAAGTGATGGAGGCTGGGTCCACGGAGTGGTATTAGCCAGGGGGTAGGAGTGGTGTCCCTGCCCAAAGTTTGTGGAAGGCTGGAGAGGGATGGCACGAGACAAATGGCTTGGTCCCTGTCTTCGGTCCATCCCCCCCAGGGAACCTAGTGTTGGCCGCTGTCGGCAGACAGGCTACCGGGCTAGATGGGCCTTTGGTCTGACCCAGTACGGCCATTGTAAGCTCAGGGCTCAGAGTCCGGGGTCTCAGTGGACCACCTTGATTTTCATGCACACCTGCTCCTGGGGGGCCAGGCTGGCAGCTCTCCTGCCCTAGACGGCCACTTTCCTGTGCCTAGTGTGGAGGTCGTGGACGAGGTCCACGATGTCCGCACTAGACCAGGCGGGTCCCTGCCTCTTGCGGTCCCGGGCAAGCTCCCGGGAGCCGCCCGCCTGGTCCCGGGAAGAGGGGGAGGGCTGGGGGGCACCGGGTGGCTGGCTTGAGCCGTGCCAGGGGCAGGGTCTGCTGGCTGAGTGCTGGCAGGCTTGCACCTGGCACCGGCACCGTAGCCAGCCCGTGCCCCCTTAAGGGGTCCGGGGCCGGGAGGGGGGCAATAGAGTTTCCCTGGTGTTGGCCAGAGTGGCCACCAGGGAAAGCTGGGGAGGGTTAGCCTCTCCCACTAGTTCGAATTAAGGGGCTACACACCCCTTAATTCGAACGAATACGTTCAAACTAGGCTTAGTCCTCGTGGAATGAGGTTTACTTTTAATTCGAACTAGCGGAGCACTTAGTTCGAACTAACTTTGTAGTGTAGACATACTCTATGCCTCAGTCCTTTACAGCCGGGAAAATGTTTCCCTGGCTCACAGAGTGCAGTGAGACTAAATCCTTGAATTTTTGAGGGTCTCAGATACTACAAGGAACTGTCCACAAATTATGTTCCATATTTTTTATTATTTTCAGGAACCACCCATCCCTTTTCAACTCACACAAAATTGAAGAACTACTCACACCTTGATGTGTTACATAATTTATGGCTAGCCCCCAATGGTTTGGGGTCAGCTACTCATACTAATACAAACATAAATAAATTCCAACTCTGCTAATAAAACAGCCATAAGCTTCTGAAACCCAGACTCTACTCAGAGATCTGACTTATTTTAATAAAACTTTAGCCTTGCAAGATGGATTTCCTAAATCATGTAATCAGCATTCTATTCCCCAAGTTATAATGTCAAAGCGTTCTATCAATACATAAAATGCCCCCAAATTAATGAAGTATTAAAGAGAAATAGATCAGATGTCCAAAAAGCCATTTAACGCTCTGGAAGCTTAGCTCACACTCCTGACAAAAGCAACTCAAACCCAAACTGAAGCGCCTATAACAATGTTCCGTTATATAGGTTCAATATCATAGAATCATCTGGGCTGAAGAGAGTTCACTTTAGAAAATACATTATCCAAATAACTATTTCAGAGGAAATAAATTTGGGTAAGAACCTCACTGCTGGCTCCGGCTGGCCCCTTCCTGCCAGAGCAGCTAACACAGGTTATAAAAC